TCAGGGTAGGTCCACATAACACGAATTCGCATAATAAGGCAATTTTTAGGAACCCAACCACCGTGTTATGTAGTCTCCGACGTGTTTCACTCCCAAAAGTGGAAGCGCTATCTATTGGGATACTAAGATGGCGGATAGTGTCGAGAGCAACACATGAGAGGAAAGTCTCGAGTGGATACGTAGCATTAGGCACTAATTAAGAATTTTTTACGACAATGAAACGGTTGTGATTTTATAAGATATTAAAATTTTAAGATTCTTACTTGATAGACAATTTTCTGATATCTTTCTATAGTCGTTATATTTTGTATTTCTGCATCACGTAAAAAAGATATTGTTAGTATCACTTATGAATAAAATATTCATAGAAACTATTAATTTGCTTGGAAAATAACGTTTTTTAATCCCTCATAAACTGCGATTATTTTGTATCTCTTTGTCTTTATTACGTAAAAGGGACGTTTTTATAATTGATTATGTAAACGATTAATCCTTCTGAAAACTAACTACTTGAAGTTTTAAGTGATAGTTGAAATAAAGTTTAATTACTTCCGTTAGGTGTTTGAGTACGAGTATTTTCCGAGTACAACGCTATGCATCATTCGATGATGCACGAGAGCATGTTACGTCGAGGCGTTTGTGTATACATTATTTATGTAGAGTGCGTTCTTTTGTTCTACTTAAGTATTATGTAATTTATCTATAGAAAATTTTATTGTAAAAAATTGGAATAAATCAAATTTTGTAAGAAATGTGCTGAGTCAAAACGTCAAAATCCGAAACTGAATCGAATTATTTATATAACGGGAAAAATGTGTTCAATATACAATTCATTGTTTCTTAATTTAAAATGGAAATAAAAATTTTATATTCAACACGGGATCATTAAAAATCTGTGGTTAATTTTTTAGACAACTTATTGACGCTGCTGTTGAAAATAAGAAGACAATGAGATCAGTCTTCGTTTCATGGACGTCATCAAACTGGTTATGCGTTGATTCTGATGTGCGTTTACTGTGTATAAGAAATGTTTTTTTATTTATATACGTGTAATTATTCGTTTCATTAGAATATCCAGATGTTCTAAACCGGTAATTCAAAATAACTATCTGTTATTGAAGTCTTGATGAGGAAACAACTCTAAACTTGTGTCCGTATAAACCTTTTTTCTTATTGTGCATAACTCTGGAAAACTTGAAAGACCCTGCGAATTGACAAAACGAAAAAAAGTAGCTCGCGATGATACTTTGCAAACGATGCCAGATAATAGTTCCAACATAAAGAAACGTATCGAAACTCTTATTTCCTACATTTTTAACATGAACGATTTCTGCAGTTTTTATAAAATCTTTGGACAACAATAGAATAATTTCTATAAATTATTATACAGCTTGGTAGACTTATGATTTACATCAGGACTTTTTTTAGGTAACCTCGAGAAGGAAATGTTTTAGTTGATGGGAATACGTTTTTAAAATCTTTATGTACATATAATCCTAACTAATTCTTCATTGTCGAGATATTTGTCATTTTCTTGACAATACATCATTTACATATTTGCCAAGACCGTATTACTTGTATTACTATTGTAAAAGAATGATAAGTAGCTGTAGCTACTAGGTATCCACCAAGTCGAAAAATTTCTCCTCTAGAATTGTGTAAAAAAAAAAATGCAGTCCGACGTAAATTTTAAATTAATATCGTACAATTTCCATTCTGCATAACGTTCCATTCGAATCAGTTATTAGATTCAAGCTTATGTTCAAATCAATTTCATTTTCCACTGAAATCGTCGATCAATCATAACTAACCTTTATACCTACGTAAACTATAAATAAACCGCAATATTCTATGACATCAAAGGAAAGTTAATGATATGTTCGTCCAATTTTTTCCAAAGATTTTAAACATCCATCGAGGTCTTAACCCTCGTACGACGGTGCCTGGATCCATATGGATCAGAAATTTTAAAAATCTCCATCTAACTCATCAACCTACGAATGGTAGTTAAGCTAGAAAGTGTGAACACATTAAGTCATATTGAAAAAACAGGTCATTCTGAATGATTTCGTCGCGAAAATAATGTTTAAAAGGTAGGAAGTATCAGGGGTTTAAACGGACCCAATCACCGCTGCTGCACGAATATTAAAAACAACCATCATCCGAGGGTTAAGGAAGATAATATCTGTCGAGACTGGAGAGCAGCAAAAAAACACATTTTCGTCTGGAATCGTCCCAGAATTTTGATTTAAAACGAGAAACGTCAACCTAGCACTAAGAGGAAATTGACCCTGGTCTGGCTTTTAAACGATATCGCGAAAACATACAGGAATAATAGAAAAAGCAAGGTAAACAACGAGCCGCACAAAACTAACTCTCCATTTGCCACCACCCGTTGTCTCTAAACCACTAATTCAATTAGCACGTACAACAGACGATTAAACTCATTGCCGTATCGAGTAACAAAGATCACGATTAACCTTGAATGCATAAATGTACACTTTGGTTTACGAATACATTATCTAATCACACGCATTGACTCGGCTCGATTGCTTGAATAGCGGAGAGAACTTCCGTGCAAAACGCAATTCCAAGACAGAGCCGAGATTGCTCGCGTCTACATACATACGTAAAATTGTTCAGGAATCATCTGTCTCGTCGACTCAAGCATCCTTGGCTATATGATGTTCGATAATTTTGGTCAAAGAGCAAAATTATTAAAATACTTTTTAATATTATCGAAGATCTACTAATGAAATACTTTGCAATCTGCCTGGAAGATGTACATATGTAGAGAATGCAGATCCACAAAGTTTTATTTGAATGATTGTAACTACACTATGAATGTTTCAGCAAATACTCATATTTTCCCAGTGTATTTCATAAAGACTGAAATAAACGAAAGATTCATTTCATTTGTTAAAACAATCGACAAATTAAAAATGGAATAAAATCTTTATTGATCTTGATCGAAGCGGTTGTTTTCGGTTGTTCTGCACCTTTGTGCTCCCTAGTCATACATAAAATCCACAGTCTAACTATTAACCTATTCTAAAATCATTATCATTATTATTATGTAATTCAATAAATCTGAAAGAATATCTAATGAAGTGGCTTGAGCGTGATGGAGCGAATGGTAATAATAAGAAAAATAAATTCCAAGCATTTTTTTTAATGACAACAGATTGCTAGACCACAAATTTTATGCATTTCTATATGCACAAGAGTGCAGAACTCTATAAAATAAGAGATTAATAAACTTTGTAACACTTTCATTTTACTGTAACGAGCAGGATTGAACAAAGTAAGCACTTATCATACATTGGCTTCGTATGAATGCAAACAAGTAGTATGGAATTTCGTCAAACATTTTTTAAATTCTTCAAATTTTTAACAATTCTGAAGACCATGATATTACTTAAAACATTTAAAATCGTCTAAGACCATTAGAGCTAAATTTTCCATTGCTTACTGTTTTAAAAAACCAGACATTTTCCATACATATGTATTGTTATAATGTATGTATAATTGGATACGAAATGAAGTCTCGTTTTCCAGAATGGATAAATACAAATTAAAATTGAATCATCATAAGCCACGGAACCTTCAATCCGTGATGAGGATCTCGCACAAAAAAATAATCACCACCTCGTGATTCCCCTCGTATTTTTTCCGTACACAACCCTCGTTCATCTTCGTCCCCTCTCGACCACAAAGTTCTGCTATATTAAGTATACGTACAATACGATCAGGTACAAGAGTAGCATCTCTGGGTTGATCTGTTTCATTTCCAAAAGAGAGGACGAAGTTCCTCGACGGTATTAAGCTAATCACCTCCAGCCTCTACGGGTTCACCGAATTCAACCAATAATCTCGTCTGAAGGCGTGATTCCTCTTCGACGACTCGCGGTGCCCGAGTAAATGAACAACGCGAACTTAGTACGTTCACGTAGTGGTGGGTCAGCGAACAAACTGTTCCCAAAGATATTCAATCGAAACATCTAACAAAGGGTCTAAACAGTAGTTCAACCCAAGTTTGATCATAGCGAGGCGTTCGATTTGAAGATCGCTGTCAAATGGTCTGGCGATGCTTCAAACACCAAACAATTTGATGACCTTTCTAACCTCAAAAAGTCTGATGACGTTTCAAACTTCGAACTTTCGAGTCGTTTTAAACGACTCAAGGTAGTGAGGTATCGAAGACTTCACAGTCAGTTTATTGCTTCATACATACCCTCCAGAGTTTGAAATTTGTAACGTTATCAAACTGTTTGGAGTGTGAATTGCCATCAGACTGTTTGAAAGCGACTTTTAGTTCGAATGCCTCGCCATGATCAAGTTCGGCTTACATTGTTTAGACTCTTCGTTAGATGTTTAAACACGTTTAAACGGTTTGATTGTACACCACAAAAGGAGGTGGTCCAAATACAGATTAGGGTCTAAACATGGATTAGTTGAAAGTGTAGGGTCAAGTTGGGTGCTTTACCCCGGCGGTAATAATGTGGAGCTACGACTCAAAAACAAAGTTATTTTAACACCATATTATAATGCAAACATGTTTTAGATACACCGAAGTGTTCAATCTTAAAAATCGTCAACAGGTTTGCCAATAAGGTCTGAAGTAAAAGTGCTGCCCATATTAGACCACCTCCTCTACCGTTCACGCGACAAACGGAACTCATACACAATCGAGACTGACAATGAGTGACGCCACCCGGTAAGCATTCGCGAAAGAATCTGAAGACGCTCCTTCTAACCGCGCTAGCAATCGCGAATCATTGGTACCGACAATGCTCCGTAGTTATTAATATAAATTAATAAATTAACTCACAATGCTTTTTTAATACCTAGTATCGAGACGTACGCGTAGAACACTCCGAACTTCTCGTCGGGACGACTATCTCTGGTTCATTTTAGAGCCGTGTTCTTCGTTCCGAGAATGGATAGGAATCTTCCTTCTAACCAATTCGGTTGGTCATTATTTCGCCTGTATCGCGGTTTTTGTGATAATGACTATTGGTCCGCCTGCTCACTGGCTTCCTCGTTATCGGACATCGACGGCATCCTGTCGTGATTCGTGCAATTATCCGTCTTGCACCTCGACGACTCCGCGATCGCGAGCCAGTGCTGCTTATTCTTCCTCACGCCGTCGACTAATGGTTCCAATTTATCTGATAATAAAGCGAATGCCTGTTGAAAGAAATTATGAGAGTTGTATTAGTTTCCTGAGCCGGAATGCGGTGGAAGGTTTTTTTTAGAATAGCCGAGCTCTGAGGCCCGGTTTTAATTTCAGTGAAAATTGAAAATAAATGATTATCAGATGAACCTCAAATACACCGAAGGTAACTAAACATTACTAGGATTTTAAATGTTACTGTTCGACAAAATTTTGAAAATTCATAAATGGTGGAGTGAAATTGGTTATATTTACTTGATATCGAATTGCTGAATTCAATAGTAATCTCAGGTATATGTAAAGATTTTTTTTTAAAAACATGTAGAGTAAATTATCGATAAGTGTTCGAAGACTCCTCGGCACTGAATGTTCAGACTGGTGGGTCCCGCGTGGAACCCGTCAAGCGCTGAGTGGTGGGACGTCTGAACACTCAGTGCCGAGGAGTTTTCGAACATTCATCGATGATTACAGTAGTTCATACTTTTTGAAATTATTTACCCCCTACATTTATATTTACTTGGCATTCGTCATCATCATTATTATTATTATTATTATTTGTTAAATACGATAGAAATAAAGATAGAAAAACTGTACTAGGTGAATAATTCAAGAAATAAATCAAACTAAACAGTAAATCAACTAACTTCATATCTGAAAATCTAGACTTTGTGACGTGCAAAGGGAAAACTAAAATCAGTATCGTGTTTAGCAACCTTTTCTAAATAACACAGAAAATTAGGTTTAGTTCCATCATTTTGGGATTTGTTACAACAGTGTTATTTATAATGTATTCGTACATATTATAATTGGCAATGATTTTCATGTGTTTATAGTATATGCAAATGCGTAGAATGCAAAATTAAAATAATGATTTTAATAAATTTAATAAGATTTTTAGTTTATCTGTAAAATGACACACACAGTAATTAAAAACATAAATTTCTACTTAATCCATACTTTTAAAGATTAATCTAGCAAAAACTTGAGTTCACGTAATTATTAATTAAAGCTAGTTGAAGTTAAATCGAGGAAATGTAGTTTTGCACATTGATAGCTCAATAAAATTAAATTCTCGGTTTTTTTCTACATTTTTAAAATTAATATTCCATTTTCATTTATTTATATCCAAGTTGAAAATTTGTGTTTCTATTTTATATTAATTTTAATTGCATGTTTGATATATTTATAATAACAAGTATGTTTTTATCACGAAACATTTGAATGCAATTACTCTATAAATTCTGTTTATTTTTGAGCTTTTATCAAATGTCTTATAAATGAAGCATAAAACAACGTGAACCTAATGAAATGTTCACAAATGCCATGGACAAAATTCTTCATACTATAAACAACGGAATTTTTTAGAACAAAAACGAAAAGATTAATACTACGGACTAATACACTACAGTGAAATATTCATTTCTACTATCAGTTCTACTCTCCCAATAGACCTGCGCGAGATGTAGAAGTTCTCCTCTGAATTTTGTTACTTCACTTAAAACATTTTAGTGAAATATTTCCTGTGCACGTTGAAAATATTTATTTGCATTATGCAATTATTGTAGTATTACTTGTTCAACTGAAACATTGTAATAACTGAGACCTATCATCGATATCGTAGAAAATTACCTCGTAAATGGGAAGGCAGATCGAATCGATGAAACCAACTTGCATCATAGGTAGCTGATCTTCCTTTTCTCTGTTCATAATGTCCTGTAATATCAGGGGAGTAATACTGTTACCTTTGGATATTAAACAATTACTGGTACACGTTACTTATGCGAATTTATACATATAGTCAGATTAGAATAAAAGTCAAACTAATATGCTTATCTTACAAGTCTCCTTTGGTCATGAAAAAGTACATATGTGTAAAAAGGAGTTTGAGCAATTAAAACACAAAAGATATGAAAATAAAAGAAACTACATCACAGTTTCTACAATGGATAGTTATTTTAAACGTAAGTGACTAAAAAAATATGTGAGTAAGACAGATATAGTTAGAACATAATTTACACTTCCGTCTAAATTTATTTATGAGAATCAACTGGAAATTCGAAATAAAATTTGATTTGCAAGAGATTACATGTAGTAACAATTGTAAACGGTTGAATTGCAGATAAATAGAATACGACTGGGAATGATCTAGTATGTCTGAATATCATATCCTATTTCTATTTTATAAATCTACATATGAAATTGAAATGCAGTACTGTTTACAAACACATTAATTATATTTATATTGTTTATATTTAAAAGTTTGTAATACTTCGTTTGTAAACAATTAATGTAAAGAACGATTTTATAGCTGTGACAAATATTGCACAAAGAGAAAAGAAAATACTAATGAATCCTTTAGTATCGAAACACAAATTTCTGTAAAAGAACATTTGCTCATCTGATTAATTGAAGGTCATTATAGAATGTCTCATCATGAGTAATATGTGATAGTACCTATTACTATCACGAGTAAGTGACAAGAAATTTAAATGCTTGTTCACTTCATCCTTATTTTTTGTTTATCGTCATGTATTGTGTTGTGTTATCATAAATTAAAGAATGTATAATGGTAAAAAATATCAGGTTTGATAGATTCTTTTCATTGATGTACCTTTGTATACTTACAATAGGGGTAATATTAAGGGTCCGCCTTTCAATATCGCCTTGTTCAAAGAATTCGCTGCTAACTAGTTCCGCCACCCTTTTCTCGACGTCCCAAGGTTTCGTTATAGCCGCTAAATCACAGACGGTCATTAACATTCCTCTTAGTAGTTCCCGATGGTCGCTGAAAGCCCAATTGTAGCTACCGCCTCGCGCTAAGCTGAGAAAAGCTCCCCTCTTTCTGAAGTAGACCGCTAAGTCGGTAGAGAGGATCGCTTCTTCGAGAACCTTTACCACGCGAGAATATTCTTCGGGGGATAGATTTGATAAAATCTGATTCCCCTGACTGCTCAGAATCATCAGGCATTGATCGAAATGATGGTGCTCCATTGTTGACGTCGAATACAGCTGTGCCAAGGGCGATGATGCTCTGTAAAACAGAAACCCAAATCTCACTGTTATATGTATATGTATGCTGTATAAAAACATCTTGACACAACTATACCATAAACCACAATTGTTCTAATCACCATTTGTGGAATAATTTTTAATATAAGAATTACACTGTAGATTTTATGTATTTGTCGCATATTGTAGCCTTGATAAGTAAAATTCGTAACTCCATTTGAAGGAACTTTTACAGGGAAGTAATAAAACAGTGTAGAATTAATTGCACTTATTAAATTACAGAAAATAACTAAGCTTTTTGAATGGTATTTAATTTACAGGGGTTGCAGAATTATTTAGGAAAATGTATTTATTTTGAGTGCTTTAAGTGACACTAAAATGCAAAATTGGCCCAAAAGTGGAGTTACGAGATTTACTTATTAAGGTCATGATATGGATCTGTACAAAATACAGAATTGTAGAAAAATTTAACAGGGATTAATTAACCCCTAGCCTGATAATATCGAGTCGGACTGGTTGTGGCCATTTCTCTCATATTATCTAAATAACAAATTATAACTTTAATATGATGAGTACACGAAAGATTTGGATTGCATACAAAATCTATCTTAAATATATTCCTATTTCAAATTGAAATACCATAAAATTCTAATTATACTCAAATAGATTCCATGTTTGTACAAATGGAAATCTGCCTTAAATATACTTGAATATAAACTAAATATAATCAATTATAATCTAGTTTCTTATTTATTTGTTTAATAATTTTTGCAAGCAATTATACCACAGTATTTTTATTATTACAAATTAAATTATATTCTCGTTTATTGCAGCAGAATATTTATCAAACTGATAACTGTTTTACATTGGTTCTCAATTATATGTATAAATGTTAATGATCGAAGAATTACTTGGTTAGTAGGTGACCACATTGCAGACACATCTTTGCGTATATCCTCTTTCCGTGAATAATTAAAAATAAAATGAAATTTCAACTTACTTGATTTGGAAGGAATTATTTGTGCCCCGATGATCCAAATCGTGACACAAGCAAGCAATGATTAAAGCAAGACACTCGATTTCCCCAAAGATTTTCCACCATTGGGTAGCCTAAAGGACAATAACACTTTTGTTAATTGTTAATGCAATCGCGTGTAACTTAGGTGTAGTTCATTATTAATGGTAAACATGCTTACGGTTAAAATTGCGAACATCATTTGGGCGACGTTGAACGCATGGCGCCAATTATGGTACGTGACATTCCGATAATTTTTCTTAACGCTGAGTAGCCAGCGGCACAAAACGTCATAATCAATATGAAAACGTTCGACGAAGTCAAGGTCCAAGAACATTCGAAGACACGCAGTTAACGTTTGGTCGTCTTCCATGTAAATGTCGTCGAATTTGAAATCGTGCAGCTGAAAATGTGCTGCAGACGGCACTCTTAAGCCCTAGAATGAAAGTTAATGAAATTGTGAAAAGTATTATTCCTTCTGGTCTCCTAAATTAATAGTAGTATAAAAATTCATCATTTTCTTACTAAAGTAACAATACCAATTAAATTTAATTATATCTTCCTCTCTTTGTGCTTAATTAAAAAATATAGCGCAGCTATTTAAGAACAATGACAATTATAATAAAAGAATCACGTATTTCTGACTTTCCTTAAAAAAGATTTACGAATGTCTCTTTACAATTTAATTTTTAAGCAGTGTTAGAGAAATACATTATATAGAATGTATAGTTTCCTTCATTATTAGTGTTTTAATCTTGAAAGGTGAACCAACCCTTAATCTTTGTGCATCTTCCAATGACGCAGAAGCGTGGTAACTCAACACTTCTAATGTGACGCTTTGTTTGGCCATCGCTATCACAGCCTTTTCATACCTGTTTTAAAAGCCAAAAGAAGACGAAAATTACATACATTATTCATTGTCAGACAACCTGCTTAAATGGTAGGATAATAGTGACTTATTGAAAATATTGAGATTATTTTAACATTTGCATTTTCTATCCATTACAATTTTCCATAATTTTATTGAGAAACGGTTAACAGTTAACACGTGTTGAAACTAATTCTTTTTTTATACCGCGGTTCAAAAGTTAATAAACATATTATATTCAAATTTTGTGTAACATACATGCCCAAATCAGAAATCATCTACAGAGTGGTCATCTCCTTTATGATTCCCCTCTGTCTTAAAATCAGTTCATCTATACTGTTTTCGTAGAAATTAATTATTTTTTTTTCCGTATCTCATCCAGTACTATGGTATATCTATGGTCCAGTACTAATACACTTATTATTAGGAGCTTCTGAAATACTGTCTCTCTCAAGAATAATATCTCCCGAGGGTACAATAACTGTTCAAATGAACTTTCTTGCTATTTATTATAGCCTCTGTATCGTGGTTTCTCTTATTCCAGTGCCCACTATCGAATGTAACTATTTTTGACTTTCTTCCCTATTAGAAGCTACGCAGCTCAAAACAATTAAGGGATCGTGTGAACTGCATACTCTGCGCTCGTCAAAAGACGTATAATATCCTAAAAGTTGTTCGTACAAATATGACAAGATGTGAATAGTGTTAGTATTGTGCGGAAAGATATAATTTAGCAAACCTATAGCACTTATTTCGTTTTATTCTCTTGGTGGGTGGCACAGGTTACCGCCCCCCACATTAACGATCCCCTAATTCTTTTGAGCAGTGTATTAAAAACTCGCATGAAATTCATTTCAAGAGCAACTCAAATACTGAATAATTCCAGTGATGGATACTCGACGGTTCAAGGGGTTGCACTCGTGTGTCAAGTCTACGAAATGGTCTGACAGACACTCTCCGCGATGTGACCAAACTCAGGGTTCCACTTACATGTGCGTATTATGAATGCCCATGCCGCAAAATATGGCGAACGCCTCGACAAAATTCTCATCATTCTTCGTGAACGCCAGGTCATCGAACTTGTTGATCAGTTGAATGACGCCGATTATCTGACCCGACGAGTTCTTGATGGGCATGCAGAGAATGGTGCGATGTTTGAAACCAGTACCATCATCTACAGAGGGGTCGAATCTTGAATCATCGTAGGCGTGTAGTATGTTCACCGTCTATGAAAATATATTAGAATGTTTCACACGTTAGCGTAAACGCGCAAGCATAGGAGGTGGTGGTGTCAGAAGGCGTGGGATAAAATAAGGAAAAGAATTTCTTATCAACGTGCTCACCTCACCGGTGGTCGCGACGTAGCCAGTGATGCCGACGTTTATAGGGAATCGGCTCTCGAACGGACTGCGTGAACAAAATCGTATACGTGTAAGGTACCCGAGGGAATTCAACGGTTTTGCGGTAACTGAATGGAGGAAAAAATGAGAACGTAATTACAAACTTCATTCACCTAGTGCGAGAATCTGAATCCTCGCCGGCCAGATCGTTCGCCTCGAAGTCGAACACTCGTGAGAAACTGCCCTTCGAGGCCTTGTGCACCAACAGAACCTGAAGAGAACATTCGATTTAGCATTCCGATCGCATGTCACTGCTTCTTTAATTTATTTATATTAAGAAAGAATTTCTTTTCTACTCGGTAGAGTCTACATGAAAATGTTATTTGTATTTATTGAAGAAAAAGGCTAGGCCCCAGACTTGGCTGAAGACCATGGGCCTAGTTACAGGAATATATTGGGATGAACGGAAAGTTCGCGCGTTTTTATTCTAAATAAGTCATTTCATTGTATTATTTTTACAGAAAGTGATTTATTTAATCAACGATATCATTTCTATTAGCCTCTATTACTCGTTGTAATCGTTCCACGAGTTTTTAAATATCCTCTTCATAAAATTTTTGTGACACAAAGACATCTCACCAAAGACGCACGAACTTTCTGTTCAACCCAATACATAGTAAATATTCTAGTCAGGCATATACAATAAAGCTTAGCCTAGATTGTAGAATTGCATATAACACGAGGCAGTCTTCTTAACTGTAATAATAATATTGTAAATTAGTAGAAACGTTTGAATGATTTTCAGCTCTCTTACACGAAGTTTGACAAAAATCATATTCAGCAACAAAGGTAGTTGCTATTTGCTTTAATTTTAAAACCCCTATTACAGGGAAATGTTATTTTGTTCGTAGCGTTTACCTGTACTCGCTGACACTGTATCAGGGATTGAGTGTGCGTTAAAATCCTCAGTACCATGTGTTCTATTGTACTCTGCTCTTCGAAAATCATTCTGGCTAAATCCAGAAGAACCTGTAACAATGAACAAATATTTGTTCGAAGTTAGGACTTTATTCAAAAACATATTATAATAATATTAATCAAAATAGGAGAATGTTTTTGAACATATGTGAGATACGGGTGAAATATTACACCCTACAAGTTTTCCGATACAATTATTAATAAAACAATACAGACAGAATGATGAAATAAGAGAAACACAAATGTTAAAGTCAGAACGTACTGTCTTATACATTAGTAATTTCAACAAAAAATTCACTAACAACATTTACTTCTATTACGTTCTGCACAGATAAACGTCTCGGTAAAAGAAACATATGCACATATGTATATCACGGTAAAAGGGAGTGTTGTTTGTTCTATAAACATTTGTAGTTCGGAAGTTAAACATTAGAATTTCGATTGTTTATGTACATATTTTGACAATGAAGTCTGAAAATAAGGAATGATAAATGGTTTCTCGATATTGTTGACAAGTGAAATATTCTGGACTTAATTTTACATAACACAATTGTCAGATAACGTATACATCGAGTACTTAATCATATGTATATGCAAACTAAACAATTTTTATTGAATATTCTTAGTATCGAAATACTTTTCGAATAACTAAGCTTTTTGAATGGTATTTTATTTACAGGGGTTGCAGAATTATTTAGGAAAATGTATTTATTTTAGAGTGCTATAAGTGACACTAAAATGCAAAATTGGCCCAAAAGTGAAGTTACGAGATTTACATATAACAAACTGAACAATTTTTATTGAATATTCTTAGTATCGAAATACTTTTCTCTTATTATTAAATAGATTTTTCAACTACAACGTTTACATCCAGTTATAGGTATTACTTATATCAGTACAATTATAATTTTAAAGATTACAATAAAAAAATCATATTTAGTAAAGATTGAATAAGACAAAACACTTCGCGTGAAGCGACCAGAAATAAAAATGTTAGTATCACGCAAAGAATAAAATCTTACCGTACTTTTTACACTATGATAAACGTCACAGCGTTACTGATACTTACCTGGTTTCTTTTTACTTCTAATTGACTTTTTTCATAGAGTTGCGCATTCCTCAGCCCGATCCCGCAGAACTGCAAATAACCAGCAAAAACCTTCTCATCTTGCGCGGTGAACTGTCCTTCGCCGCCGAGCTTGTTGATCACTTGCGCAACCCCAATCACATCTCCGTTGCAATCCTTTATCGGCATGCACAAAAGGGCCCTGGTTCTGTACCCCGTTAATGCGTCGATTTCACGATTGAACCTTGCATCCTATGAACACGAAAATTACACCTTGAATAGTAATGAATACGCCTTGAAAATTGTATGGTAAAGCGAACAAAAAAGAATGTATGTACGCTTTTCACCTGTATATGATCAAGGGTAGAATATTTTTACGTAATCTATCGATACAAAATTACACCCTGAGTAGTAATGGATACACATTGAAAATTCTATGGTAAACTGAAGGAAAAAAATGCACTCTGCACATGTATGCACATGCGTTACCGCTCATGTGAGTATTAGGACACCCGGTCTGTATGAAGAAAATTTGATGTTTCGTAAAAATGGTAATATGTATTTTCGGGCCACTTTTATTACTTCATAGTAGCATAACCGTTGTCCATCGAACTTTGATATCACCTAAACAATGTTTATTTTAGACATCCAGGAATTATGTAATCTCTTAAATATTCAATATTTACTACATATTCGATAAGTCTTCATTAGTGTATATTACTGCATATTCGATAAGTGTTCGTTACTGTATATTACTGCACATTGTACATGTATTCTTATACTTATCAGTGGAAGTGTATGTTACTGAGAATAATTGGATATTTTTACGCAGAAATAAAAAAGGATGGACAAGAAACAGGTAGAATCTGTAAAAATAAGAGAAATAGGTATAATGAGGTCAGAAACAGGATAAAAAAATGTACTGTAGGGACACTAAATAATATAAATAAATAATGTAGTTATCAGGATATTTCATATATTAATCAGGAATAAATTAGTTTTTCCTAATCGTTGATCAATATGTAACTAAATAAAGACTTTTGGTGGAACTGTTACAGTTTTTATCACAATAATTTGTATATACAATTTTAATACAAGAATTGAAAAACTGAACCCTCCCTAGGCAAACTGGGCCATGGATGACTCAAGCGAATTCTCTAAACTTCTACTGAAAAATTTTCCAATTTTTATTTTTCTTGAAAATAGTTGTTAAACATTTTACTTGATGACCGATTGTGTAATGTAATAAAGATTTTGACTAATAACATACGATTTTTTAGATTTTTTGAAAGCTTAAACACTAAACAAATTAGACTAGGATACAAACGACCCACTTTTCCTACAGAGGGTTAAAAGTAAATTTATTACTAAAACACTATTAGCAACAAAACATTATGATTATTAATGTTTTTGATATTGTGAGTTTGTACATTTATTAATATATGTATAAGAGCTTAAAAGGCATTAGAAATTGTAACTATGTATTGCTGCTTTTATACTCTTTTATATTTTAATAAACCTTATGCCATAGTATTTTAATGCGTTATGAAATTGCAGTTTTATCTGATACAGCGTGAAATGTCAAATGTCGCTACGTCCATGCAAACCTATGTGCCAAACTATGTATAATTTACCCGTAAAGGCATTGTAAGTTGAACTGGATTAGAGTTGGATAGAGGTTGAATTGGATTTTCGATGAACAATTAATTGTCGGCAAATTTAATAGGAACTTTGGTATTCGAAACTGTCAGTTTTCAACGAAATTACTTCGGAGGAAGTTTGAATAGAGTTTAATTGATTGCTGCTTGCGTTCGATTATCCAAGAATAGAGCTACAGATCTTCCGGCTGAACTGTTAAGAAATACAGCATCCCAATACAATAAGCCAACGGAAACATTAACTTTCCATTGCAATCTAATTTATTCAGCTATAAAACTCTATTACTTTAATTGTATTTTACGTTACTATTACATATGAACTGTAGTTGTATGGGTATTTCAATCACAATAAAATTACTGTACAACACTATAATTATGCATTATTTAATTATCTAAAAATTAAATAATGAAATCACGAATTTTTGATATAATGCTGATTAAATAACAGATTCTATGGATTTGAATGCGTGTCTGAATGTGTAGAAAACAACGAAGCAAATAATTGTATGAACACTTTATTTGTAACGTAATAAGTTTCTTAATTGTTCAAATGCAAACTCTTTAATCTTCATTTTTGCAAAGTATTCTATGAAAATGGAAATCTCTAGAAATATCCACAGTTTATTAATGACCTTTAAATATAAATCAAACTGCATAACAATACGTAGAAAAGAATTTTACAAAACTGTTTAGAAGCTTTATTACCGTCCGTCTGAACATTAAAAAATTTTTCCCCAGATTAAGATATTTTAGTAACATTTTCTTGGTATTTTTAATTTGGCGAAACTCTTCATACAACACGCAAACATTTAAGTACCTATTGTTATTAACTAATCTATCGAAATATGACGTTGGATAAACATCAGCAGTACCCATAACACTGATCAACATGATTTTTGTCCCAAAGAACAATTATACTGATTCTTATTGTTTTTTTTTTGTGCTGAATACGAATCCGTAAACAGTTTTTTGTCATTACCCTCAGTTTCCGAGAAATTTGATTTAAAAAAAAAATGCAAATTTTCAACATTTCCTGTATACGAACATTAATAGTTATTGAGTTGATTGTTGCGTCAAATTATTCTGTAAACTCTTCCCAATAAAATGGTATACGTTGTTATCGCATTATCAACATTTAAACATGTTTAAACAACGCTCAAAGGAAAACGGACACCCAAAATGCACTAATTTGTAGAGATATTTTTCAATTTATTTCAAAAATGGAAGGTTGCAGGACTTAATGTGACTGGAAAGCATTAACAGTAATGTTAGACACGTGTTGTGTTCAATACAGGAGCATAATAGTTTAGTAAAACCTGCGACACTGGCAGTGCTACTCAGAGGCGGCAAGCGCAGGCATTCGATTGTCGCTCGGCTGCCGCCTTTGTATACCATTTTATTCGGGAGAGTTTACAGAATAATTTGACGCAACAATCAATTGAATAACTATTAATGTTTGAATACAGGAAATGTTCAAAGTTGAAAATTTGCATTTTTTTTTTTAAATCACGTTTCTCGGAAACTAAGGGTGATGACAAAAAATTGTTTACGGATTCGTATTCAGCACAAAAACAAAAAGTTAAATTTTCTTGACCTGTGTAATTATGCATAATATATGAGGGCTTTATAACAAGGAAAAATTGGCTATTCTTATTCCAGATCTATATTTTGCAAATTGAACTAACAATAAAGAAAAATGGAGAATGCGCACTAAAAGTATTTACTGTTCAATAATGTGAACCTTCCATTTGCTGATACGATCTTAGAAAATTACGTATGTTGATAGAAACATTTGAATCCGCCAAATTACTCTGGGGATGAACTTTCGATCAGCAATTTTTTAAGAGGGAGGGTAGATTGTATCAATGAAGCGATACGATGAGTTACGAGGAACTAGGGAAACACGAAAGATACGAGGACATAAACGGAAGAAACGAAATAAAACTTATCTTCAAGCTAAACACAGCTACTTTTATCCTGTTTTGGTAAGAAAATAAGATAGAATGCATTATACTGGACATCCACGTATTATTATTATTAAATACACGCTAGGCGAAATCAATAAGATCATCCAATAATATTTTGCCGACTTTTATTAAACGTTGTAACTTGAATTAATACTACACATTTAATTTTCAACTACTCAAGGAACCAATTTGTAGCAATTACTGTTTCTTTTTTCTTTTCTTTTCTTTTTTTTTTTTTTTTTTTTTTTTTTTTTTTTTTTTTTTTTTTTTTTAAGAAAATTATTTCGAGATTGATCTTTTGACGTATACAAGGACGGTGTTTAAAAATGTATTAAAGTAATGCATATTAGTGGATTGGCCAAAAAGTAATGTCAAATTTCTGTAGTAGATAATGGTTTCTGTGTTTTTCAATGCTACGCACGGTTCCTAATTGATCAAATGTACATATATGTATTCTGGAAACTGACACTTCAACGTGTCGTTTTCAAAAAAACTTTTACGATTGGATTGAATTTTCTTGAATTCACCTTATTTCGTAAATGAGTGGCGGAAAAAGATGTACTTTCGAGCGATTATGCTATTTTATTTCCGGAAAGGGAAGAACGTGGCACAAACGACAAAAAACATTTCCTATGTGCATACATCTTTTCGTCGCTCATTTTCAAAACAAAGTCAATGCAAGCAGATTTAACCTAATCGTAATGATTTTTTTTTTTTTAAACGACGCACCGATGTGCCAGCTTGTACGTTTTATTAGTTAGGAGCAGTGCTTTATATTGAAAGCGAAATAACATCATCAATTACTTTTTGGCCAATCCAATACTACTATTTACGTTTATGATTTTTCAAATTTTATGATTAATTGTACAGATTTAATTCAACAATTTACAGTCACTTTATATTTTGTAGATCACTTTTTACCATTTATTCATAAAACATATTTATAATTCTTTTACAATATTTTTTGTAATTGTAAATATTATTATATTTTAAAATACAGTACAAGCTAATATTTCATTAAGAATATTTGCTTAGATTGTATTTGAAGTAATAATAGACTATCAATTTTCAGATGTCGTAATTTTGGAGTAAAGGAGTAAAAAAATCGAGTGCACTTAATGTAAATCGAAAAAACCTTTTTGAGGAGGACACTTCGTTTATGACCAAGTTTCGTGAAGCACCCTGTATACGTCTGTGGCGTCATCAAATCTCTTCTCACAACCATATACGCAGCTGCGTCATTCAGAATTACTGGTTTCGAAAGGCATGTAATAATGGGATACGTGGATTGCATGCACAAATTCATCATAACACTAACAAGTATTGTTGCACCGTCGTGCATAATTTACACTGTTATAAATGTCTAACAATGGGCCATGATCACAAGCGTGTAACGACCTTATTCGTACGAATTTCTTGATGAAAATATATACAATAACAAACGAGGAACAGAAAGTTTGCATAAAATAAATCGTCCAAAAAATTTTAATTTATCATTGAAATTCTAAAAGAGTTGTAAAACAATTTCCGAACAGAAGATCGCGTAAAAATAAAGGTAATAAAGAACTGTCAAATAAAACAGCTTAAATGTGAATATGAATTATGTTTATGAATCATTAACGCTATTATTAAAGATTAATACGATCCTTTCGTCCGAATGTTCATTATATTTCTCTCGTAATTTATATTTCTCATGAAAGTATTCATCTATTCATTCAGATTGTCCGTACGAAAATCACATAGACGTGCAACCATTCATGTCATGAATATTTATGGGGGAGCTGTATACTTATTCCGTACTCGGATTATATTGGATCAAGCCATAAATAACATCCTTTCCCATTTCGAATTTTATTTCCGTCGATAGGCAACGAGTAATTAACTTTCACCAACTATACATATATCCTTCATTATTGCAAAATATAACAATCACTGTCAAACTCTGAAAATCGTTCACACTGAAGTCTGCCGTGTCATCCATATATGAATGACACAACTATTTATTAATTTAGCCAATTGGCATTTTTTTAGTTATAGAATTCTTTAACTGCACTTATGTTTCTATTCTAAACCTGAACACTTTTATGAAGCTTTAAGTAGATCAAATTCCATTACAGCCTATAAGATTCAAGAAGGTTAAAAAGATTACTGTTAACAAATTTAGATTTATGAATTTCTGTTTCATTATAGAAACTGCTTGGACATTGTTGCAATTTTTATACCTGTTCGTCTGTCAGTCTATGTCTATGAATTTAGTCATTATTCCCTGAATCCAATACACATATCGTGTATTCGTACAAGTTTCTCTTATAGTATCATAGTGATCAGTAATTTCATAGTTGTGAAAATTTTAAATATTTATAAATATAATAAAATTTTTAATTCTTCATTTTGACGCATTTTGAATGCCTTCTAATCTCGAAATTTTCTATATGGTATTTCATATTTTCTATATGAAATTTCACTATCTCTACGGATATGTGTAAATTTGACGCGATCATAAATTAAGTATTAAATAAAATAAGTTGTTTTTTTCAAGAAAATGGGCGGTTTCGTTGACGCGTGTCCGTAGAGATAAATGTATAAGAAATGTCCGTAAACCTAGTGTTAAGTTGGTGCTATGATTTTATTCTATTTCATTCATAAATACTTTTTACAACATTCGCCAAAAGAATGGTTGAAAGCTATAAAAAATGTAAACTATTTATCGAAGCAAAATGTTCAGTATTACATAGTAAAGATTTTTGTACATCACTTCTTGTGCATACATCTAATAATACTTATTAAAATGTTCTCGTTTTCTTCAGTCTGAGTGTATTAGATTGTTACACATGAAATGATCGTTTTATTACCGGCTTTTGATATTCGATTGAACACTAAACGAACTTTATTAAACAACGTCAAATTAAATAGAATCTATACACGGTTTTCATTGAAATACAGGTGTTGCATTCATTCCGTATTCATTACACAATTAGTATACTGAATTTATAAATGAATTTGGATTATATATCCATCCTTTAATGCACGTAGAGAAAATGGCTGAATTTAACTGAGATTGATTCTCTACTTTATCCTTTTCCGATCGTAGGATTCCATTTGCAGTGATTACCTTACTTATGTAGTATTTATACCTGATGTTATGACCCTGAACATTTAGTATGGCGTCGTATTGCATAATTCAGTTTTTTTTTTTTTCAGTTAGACGGATAGATACATTCTCAAAAATAATACTTAGAAATTGTTTTTGTTTATGAATAATTTTTTTGTTTGCTTTTTTTTTATTTTCCAACTTTTTTGACACTCAAGAAAAAGCTATATGCAGACAAATATTTTGTTTGTTCGAGAGAAATAAATCAGGTCGGAAAGGGTCAATTAACTTTAGTGTTTAACATAATTGATTATATTCTTATATTCGATAGTACCTCGCGACGATTAGAATACAGTGTGTAATTTTACAACAAAGAAAGGGACTATCCGTTGATACTTTTCATTCCTAAATTAACGTTAAATATACCTAATCAGTAAAATCGCTATATTTCCTTTGCAACCTAATATTGCATAAATTCAAACGGATTGTCCGACCCAAAGTGAGTACACCACCAGGTACACCTGGTGCAAGTTCCCAGAAAGACAACAAAATCGTTACCTTGTAAGCATCCGGTATGTTAACAGGTTCTCCGCTTTCGGCCACGTAACCGACAATCCCGGTGCCCCAGGGAATTTTGATCTCGTCCTTTTTCTCCATCTCGAGCAACGTCGAGCGCGAGCACACGTCGAACAGCTTCGAGACTAAACATCTGCTCCTGGAGTATCCTGTTTCGCGTTGCTCCGGGTTCCCGTTCCCGGTTTTCCCTGGACTAACGCCGCCGGCTGGATTCCCCGACGTCGAGACGTGATTCTGCGAGGAGGGCATGCAACCCCCGCCTCTCTCCCCCTGTACGAGAAACAGGGAGCCCCGATCCGCGTGTAACAGGGTGCTCACGTTCTGCAGGATTTTGTGGCATAAGGATCTCACGTCCAGCTCGTTACAGATATCCTTGACCTATGATTAATTAATTTGATCGTCATGACTTATTTACTCTCCTTTGCTATCGAGGAGTCACGTATTAACTACTAGAACTGCCCAAGCAGTCAAAATTATTAGTTAGTATACTCTTATTGTCAGAGGTAATTGCCTAAATATGGGCTGGCACTTTTACTTTAGGACCCATTGCTAAACCAGTTGAAGATATTTAAAATGCAACGCTCCAATGTATTTAAAACATGTGTTGTCTTTATGATATGGAGTTAAGTTCGTAGTTTCACACTATTCCAGGTATGGTGAAGCACCTAATATGACCCTATTACTTTCAACTTGCCCATATTTAGACCCTAGGCTGTATTTGGACAACTATTCTGTATTTTTTTCTTTCAATGATGATTAAAGTGTTACAACACTGCTTTTCTTTCAGATCTCTCATCACTTCCACTGGAATGGATATGAAAGTGTTAAAGTTAGTAAATTTGTAAATTTCTATATTTTCAAAAGGTTATCATGTTCATGGATCCGATAGAAATAGATATAAGGGGTGTTCCCCTAGCCCACTAGCCCAGGACGACACTTAGTATCGGACATTAGCTATATGTTCGACGCTTGAAACGTGAAAGTGTTTGAAACAACAGAAGACTTGGAAAATAAGTTTAAAAACAACAAATCAGATCCAAGAAGATAAAGAAACGCCAGAGCATTGACACTACAAAACACAAACAAAGAAACTGTCTTTCTTACTTAAAAATGGGACGTATTACCTATTCTTAGCCTACTGCATTTCAACAATAATTAGTAATACTTTCATTAAGTACTTCTTTAGAAATGCCTGCTGATCAACTAATCTATACCAGTGATTGACTCTTAATAAATTGATTGCAGCTGTTCGATCACTCGGCCATTATGGTATATGATTCGTTTTGCAGTCAAGAAATTTCGAAGACTGTACATCAAATACAATTAACTTGTCATTCAGAGGCTGGTTCCACCCTTTGGAGTATTCGATATGATATTCCACCAAGCAATCCCGCAAGCAATGTCATTTTTAAAATGAACCTTTTAAGCGCCTTTTAATACACTCATATACGAGTTTCAAAAAATTATTCAATCATCCGTTATGGACTCTTTTATGTCTGCGTACATTTAGTGTGCGGTATGAACTCATGAAGTAACTGCAAGTAGCTGCATTTCTACATTTTTCAGAGTCAGATAATATGACAGCTGCAAAACAGACTTTGCCAGAACAGCTGAATTTGAACTTATGTTTGAATTCAGGTGAAGTTTAAATATTTCATAAACGCACAATTCATCATTACTGAAATTTAATTACCGTAATGAGTTTTCCACCCTGAGATTTCCATCAATCTATTCGAGATGAAACATCCTTACCTTCTTTATCAGATATTGAAGAGGCACAAAACGCAAATAATGAACATAATAAAATATAGATGAACATTGCAAAACACATTCTGCTTCTATCTATTAGGTGTACGAATAAGTAATCCACTATTTTCTTGTGAAATTCTGTATTTTTTCTTTAAATAATTCCGAACCCTCTGCTCTACATATGTATATTAACCTTATTCGTTACATGTTTCCATCATTCTCACTCATCTTGGCCACGTAAAACATCGAAAACTATTCTGAACATCGTAAACTGCACTGCCAGTTCATTGAAACCATAGTGTGTTACTTATTGGCACATTTAATATTAGGTTGTGTCGAAATTAATGCAGGTTTCCAATATTTATCCTTAAGACGACATATCTGAGCTCAGAACAAAAATTTATTAATCAAAGTATGCACCATTAGAATCTATACATTTTTGCTAACGAGAAACAAGTGAATCGTTAAATTGTTGTTAACAGTAAAAGAACGTTCGCAACCCTCATCGTCTTGAAGGTGAAATTCATTGAACAACATTGAAGAGTGCATTCATTAACACTGCCTTGACCCCAAACATGATTGATACATATTTCGAACCACGTCGACTGTACTACGCCCAAGTTTAAATCCGTGAAAGTAAATTTGTCGAAATTTTTATTTGGAAATTCTTTCTTTCAATCGCTTGAATTTTCACCAAAATGCAATTAATATCGAATACGAATAACGTAGAAAGAAACAGCAAGAGATAAACTGTGAGATGAATATAATATAAACATAAAACCTGCATTAATTTTGGGACAAGCAAATAATGTGATACTGGTAGAAAATAAAAATCACAACAAAACCAAATTGTACCAGTTCGAAAATGAGATCCTTCTCGTCCAGATGCCTCAGTTCGTGCCTCGATCGTCTCTGGGGCCTGCCCGAGTTTCCGGAACCGACTGGCTGACTTCCTGGCTGGCCAGAGTCCCCAGGTGTGACGCTCAGGAATGTCGGCGTGCCGTCGATCGTGTTGACGATCGGTTTCAGTAGACCGCCACGTTCGAACTCGTGGGCGGAGATCTTGCGTACCGGCGTGGTGGCACCTGATCCGCCAGAACCACCACGACCGGAGGACGATGTACCACCACCACCACCCGCATGGATAGGACTGGACAGCTCCGCGCAGCTGCTCGACGAAGATGTCGGCGTAGCATGCGAGACCAGCCACATGTCCACGGTCTGTCTCGTCACTTTTCTGTCGAGAAATAATCGTCTCGTTTTCAATTCTGTATTTACAGAGGGTGGCGCACGTAACGCCGGATTTCACACTATGTACAATAATAATCAAAGGCACGGTTAGATAACGGTCGGTCTGAATTTAGATTATACAGGGTGTAACCAGAAGGTTGGAGGACCCGAATATGGAAGAGTCGTGAGGTGATTTGAAACAAGTTTCTCCTTAGCAAAAATATTATCCGAGGCTTTGTTAACGAGATATTAACGAAAAACTCCGACTAAACAGAGCGCGAGTCTGCCGGCCGAGTTCCCGCGGTAACGTTGGCTACCATTCACAGCGCGTTATATTTTTTTATATGTATAACTTCCATGTCACTTATCAAATGATCGTGACACCTTGAAAACTTTCAATTTAGGTACACCCTCCAGTAAATATTATGATATTCAATATTATTACAGATTATAGTATGTATATACGTTTTGTTATAATTTAAGAACTATCAAATGACATAAGAATATTGAGAACTTTCAATTTCGTATAATTCCGACAACGTTAATTGGCTCAAGCAATGAACATTTCAAAAAATTACGTCTAATCGACCGACACGAAATGACCGGAAATTAGAGTTAATGAAAGTGCTTTTAGTACGTAAATATATAGATAAAATTGACAATACTGTTCCTTTCTTAATACAGCTATATCAATGTATTGTAATGGATTAAGTACGATTTTAAGGAAATTTTAGATAGACCAATTCCTAAAGAATCGAATTGCAGAATCTTCAATAATGTGAAATCTTTTCCCATTCGCACTTATGAATTGTATAACAATACTTAAAATTTTCTATAGTTTCGTTATTAAAAACAATTATTTTATTGAGTCAGGGCAAAAGTTTTGCTGGTTTTTTGTTCAAAAGAATAAATTAATAGTAAATGTAATTATAACTTAATAATTATTTCATGAAATATATAACAAGTCTTCGCAGAACATCCATATTTTCAATAGAAACTTTTATTCTAATAAACAAATTTTTGGAATATTATTATTCAGTGAATTTATATAATTAAATTATATGAATAAATTTAGTTTACCACGGAGTGGGATTGATATAACATCTCCAAGCAGATTACAAATCTGTTTCGCGGTGTTTTCAACGTCTATGTCTATTCTTTTCATTTCTGAATTTTTCTTCGGAAGCTCAATTTAAATTTTATTTTAAAATTATTTCTTCGCTCCCTTAAGTATATTATGTAGCCCAAATTTTTATCTTGACTATAAAAATAATTTATACATATAACGTGAAACCAAAAAGTATATCAACCTCCAAATACAAATTAACAATGAATTTATAATTTTCAAAGATTTCATTATTACTCCGGTATCTTAAGCTAGAAATCCGATAATCGCTACCAAGAATCAAGGGACAAGGTTATAGAACACGACGTGTACGCCACATAGCGGCAAAAAATTAAATTAGACTAAAACAATATCGATATATCAGTACATTCAGTACATAACTTCAAAATCATACGGGGCTATAGAGTATAGAGGATTAAGAATAAAAATAGGAAATCTGTTGAATGTGACGAAAGGTTTTGTCCTTTACTGTATTTCACAAAGCTCTATAGGCTATAAATGCATGAAATCCACAGTCAATTAGATTCATAAAGAGCGTAATAATTTCTGGCAATAACAACCTGAGAAAGTAATCGTTGACGAAATCAGGATGTTCGTCGAGCCAGGCCTCCATGCGGGCGTATTCCGGATCGTACATGGCTGAGGTCGAGGAGTAGTAACCGCCACCCGTGGACTTTCCATCTTGCACCTGTTGCAGCGTGCCCTGACCCGCCATAACGCTCTGCACTCCTTGCACCCCCTGTACACAAGGAGCTGCCGTCTCCGCCGTCATCCTCGGCTCCTCGATGCTCCGCAAGTGCAGGCCTACTTGACAGACAAATGACTCGTCATTACGCATGCTTTCGTGGCCCGTAAAAACGCATAAAATTTTATACACAGCGCACACCTGAAACGAACGGCTTGAATTTAGCTAATAGACGTATAATAACTGGACTGCGCATTCGATTGAAAAGTCGTGAAATATTAGAAAAAGACAGCATGCGTTCTGTGTCACTATATTGTCTTCGTTTGATATTCATTCATTTTCATTCCTTCCACTTCTTTTTGTTTCCCAGGTAACGAAGAAGACTTCTTTACCGTGCCACGCGCAGCCTGCACACTTCTGAAATGATATTACTTGACATACTATTTCAATAATATCATATCAGCAAAAATCTCTCACTGATGAGCTTTTTGAGAGGCAAGTTCTGCTTAACACGTTCCCTGCCAGACCGTTTTTTGAAGACTTCCCGTTCAAGCCGCGTGGGGCGTATACGCCCCACGCTTTACATTTGTATTATTTTGTTTCTGGCGTATGCCTTACAATAATTAAAATAGTGCAAAAATCATAATTATCAAGGAAAGGTTGTATAGTTTAACATGCATAACACAACAAACCAATAAATTTATTTTTCTAGGAATTAGTTTAACAAATAACTGGCTGAACATTATTATGCCAAGCGAGTGGCATCCTCACATATAATTTTTTTTATCATGCCTATATCAATTTAAAATATAACATTTTAGGTAAATTCAAGTTTGTACGCAATTACAAAGGGATGTTACGATGAACTTTGTTAAAACATGGCAAACATAAGTGTGGTTTATCCACACAACTATCGCAGAATGTTACAACTTTTACAGTGCAGTTTCTTGCCGACTGGGTATTGTATCAACGACACGCGAATAAATGACTGATCGGAATAAGAGAAATGCGGTTAAAACAAGTCACAGTAAAGAAAAATTGCCCATCACGCCGCGTGGGGCGTATACGCCCCACGATTAAATGAGGGCATCAGCAATAGTATTAAGATGTCCATAATTGACTCCATAATGAATTTTTAAAAAATTCTTCATTTTACAATGATAATACCAAATGGCTTGAACTGGAAAGTTCAGCGTGGGGCGTATACGCCCCACGCGGCAGGGAACGTGTTAACGAAAATTGCTGTAAACAATTTCTTGGAATAAAATCTTTTTGTTGCATGTTATTTTGAATATTATTTCTTCTGCTAAATTTTGACTACAAAAATAACAAAATAATTCGTTATTTGAAATTGCTATTATTTCAAATGAATCGACAATATTTTTATTTTCAAATAACAGTATTGTAAATAAAGTTCCGAAATAAATTATTTCACATAGTTATTTTTTATTTTCATTTTAAATAAAATTTGCCCAGATCTAACCACTCGTCGTTAAAGAAACATAGGTTGGTGACCGTACAGCTGCTACCTTTTTCTAATTTTTCATACGGTTAGACTACGGGAGACGTTGAAACCGTGCGGTTTAGATATTATATACACGTCTATGGTAATATCTGTTTTTCGTCTCTATTACGCCGTATCGATTACTACATTTACAGGATGGGTCACCTAACTTGATGATTTGAAATCTCTCGTTAATTACTTCCTGTAAGAAGTGAACTTCGTTGCTGGGCTAATTCGGAGTTTTCCTCAAGCTGGAAATCGCGGGAAAAGCTGCCGTACAGAGATGCCGCGCACGTGAAGAAAACATACTAAATACCAATCGGATCAGTAGTAAGAAGTGTACATCTGATCGATCGTTTTAAGTTTTCGAACTCTCGTTGACGAGCATGGGTGACCAAGATGTGAGAAACATTTGTAGAATCGAGGAACTTTCTGTAAGGAGTTTATATGGCTCTCGCGATTTTCGTCCGAGACAATCTTACAAATTTAAATTTACGGGGGGACTCGATTTCTTTTTCCCTTGACAGAAGCCTTATCACAGTGAAGCAGAAACTTTGAATAAGCATTAATAAAGTTTGCCATTTATCTTTCACTTAATACATAATACATTGCGTCTGTTTGTCAACCTTCTGAGCCGTTAAGAAAAAACATTATTACTCTTCTTAAAAAGAAATGGTTTTGTCTTCCATTTGCACAATATTCTATGGAAATAAGAATTCGTATAAATATCTGCAACTTGCTCACTATGCCTTCGACATTCATTATATAAAACACATTTTTGGCAAATTGATATTTTTAAAGGCCAATTTATTAAAAAGAAGGGCTGAACTTTACTTAACTAGACCAAAAATGATTGACTTTTTTTATATCTTCTGGTAGTATTCAACGAGTGGAATCTAAAAATGTAAGTTTTAAGTTTAGTTTTTTTTACAGGTTACAGTTTCACGCCATATGGGTTTCTCTCCAAATTCGTCGAATCAGTGGCGCCACTGGTTGTAAGGAGATGTACGTGTGTCGACCATTTTTGCGGGATAATTCAAATATGCTTACCAAAAAAGAATCACTTATTCAAAGCGAAATATTAATTCTTGAGTTGGCTAGAGCCTGTTTACGGAAAAAAAAAACCACTTATTCAAACCAAAACACTGATTCTTTGTTGATTAGAGCCTGTTTAATGGAGAAAAAAAACATTTATTCACAGCAAAAGACTGATTCTGAGTAATTTTTTTCATGAATACACACGTGCATTTCCTTACAATCAGTGACATCACTGATTGAACGAATTTGGATAGAAACCAATATGGCGTTAAACTAACCTGTAAATTACGCTAAAAATACTTGGTCTCGCATACGCATAACTTTTGAATATTACCAGAAGATATGAAAAAAGTCAATCATTTTTGGTCCGGTAAAGTAAAGTTTAACCAAAAGAAGAATCAAATAGTATTTCTTCTAACGAGTGTTCCAAAAAGAAAATTAGAAAGTTGTCAACTGAATTGATTTTTCATAAAAATTCAGAGATAGGCATACATATGTATTCATTATCCGGATAAAGGGTTGCGAATAACAAATGAGGGTAAAAAAGAACTTACTTCATTATTTTCAATTAATTAAACGTGGAAATTTCAATTTTAATAATACAATAATATGTCTTAAATATTCTACCGAACTCTGTTAAAAAGCATACGCGATTTCACGAAAATATAGGTTACACAAATCACCGTGTATTTTTACGAAGTGAAGATGGCAGTAACTGTAACACGAAAGTTGTTTCCGTTCGGAACAGCTTCAACCACCATAAACCACACACCATACATTTTACGCGCAAGTACGTAGATAATACGAAATGCAAAACTCCTGTGCATGAGTAATTCGTTGCATTATCATCCACTTCCTCGCCCGGTGGAGTAACGCGGTCGTAAACCACCACCCTTACGAATCTCACCCTTGACGATAGGCACATTCGGGTTTCCTAGCGTTAAGGACAACGGCTGGGTTTATGGTTCGGACGTGACTTCCGTGTTATTTATGAAATTTAGTATTTCCAGCCACGGATCCCGTATTAATTCTGATTTACGTGTTCCGGAGTCACGTAAATTTTATGCCACGGTTAGAATGCGGTGGATTTGAAGTCCGTTGCTTCTCTTCCATACAAATTGACGCATTATAAAATTTCCATAAACACCGAATTCCCTAAATGGCCACAGGCGGATGTCGTTGGTAAAATGATTCTCAGCAAAATATGACCCAAATATTTTTTAACACAGATATAATTGTCCTCTGTGGTCGTTAAGTAATACATATTTCATTTTACGCAAATTAATTGAATACAGTAGATTTCGCTTATTTGGGCCACCGGTTAATCGAGGCAGCCGTTTATTTGGGAGAAAGTTCAAAGAACAAAACTTAATCGAATGATCTTGGTCAACAAAATTTATTTTGTTAACAGCCATTCAATGTCGTTTAATGTCGTACAAAATATACACCAATACTAGAACGCGAGTTATACCTAAGCAACGATGTTAACGACCAAATCGACGAAATGCTTCAGTAAAAGAAATCTTGAGCACATTCATCGACAAAGGTAAAGTTAAAGGTTAGGTTTCAACGGCAATAAATGACCTTGAATGACCTTGAAATGCCAACAAATTACAGGTCCATGAATTCGCCACGGAATGAGCCACACGTCTACCTAAACGAAAACACATAATTTCCATTTACTAAAAAAAAAAAAAACAAATGTCACTTTCAAATCTCGAAGGCACGTCCACCTAGATAAGATTTGTGACCGTCATAAGATATCCCCATCGAAACAAAGTGAGTTCTACTGGCAACATTTTTTCTAATAACGAACAATTCGGGACATAATTGCATGTAAAGATTGGAGAAAGAGATGTAAGGAAAAAAAACTTTAGTGGTTGTGCATTAACCGTCAAAGAATTTCATAACAAGCCGTTCCGCGGGAAAGACGGAAGAAAGTGGAAGACGAAACGTGCTCCAGCACGTGCGTAGCCGCATGCCCCGTGACTAACGTCCTGTAGTTTGCGCAGTCAGCGAGACACATAGGCTGTTACGAGGTCTGCTCGGAACGAACGAGAGATATGAAAGCTTTGAGTGCGTTTTAAGTGCGTTTCGCGTCGGCCTTTGGCAAACAAACGATCGTGTCGTTGTTAAACCGTTATTCTGAAGTCTCGATAAGCAATCGTAAGTGCACTGTTCCGAGAAACAATCTATAGGCAGCGTAATGATTTTTCTTGCTTGATAAGAAGGAGAGAGTATCTATGTATAACTCGATCTTGATAGGTGGGCAGATTTTGGGCTTTTATAAGATATGGAGTTCTGGATAGGTACGAAATTGCGATTTTTATGCATTTGTAGAATGACTGAATTTGAAAGATAAAAAAGAAAATTGCAATGAAAGTTTATGAAATGTTCAGGTGTCTTCCGAGTTTAACGGAAACCTTAACACTGGAACTAATAGTAAACCCGAAAAACGATGGATTTCACATTTCTTCGGGTATAATTACTGAAATTAGAAAGCAACCTTCATCGGAATTTGTATAGTATGTCCTTTAATTTAGTATACACACATGTATTATGTTATACTATGTTACA